GATTTGCACTCACCTGTTCCGTAAAAGAAAATGGAGGGGAAGGGCCCTGGGGAGACCCCACTGACTGTTCATCACAGCTCATGAAAGAGGTGGGAATTTCAACAGACCGTGTCTAGCTGTCTGAGGCAGTGAGGAGCAAGATGTGACTTTTAAGGCCAGGGTTATGGACCCAGTCCAGAGTGAGTCATATTTGCAGTAGGATCTAGAAACACTGTCATCCCCAAGAGCCCAGACTTTGAAGTAACATCAGGGGCATGTTTGGCTCAAAACGATGGTCTCCTGGGTGAAAGGGGAAGCTCCTTTTGGAATTTGCTTCTATTCTTCGACCACCTGCAGTGAGGTTTTGGTTGCATGTGGCCGTGGTTACTTTTTTCTGTTCCCAGTTTTCTGATCCCCGAGAACTGTAGCTGTATACAAGGAGAATGTATGACAAATACCATTAAATATAGGTGAAGAGGTAGGCAACTATAGTGAAAACATTGCTTATGCCCAAGTGACGAGGGGACAAAAGCCTTGTTGACAATCAGTAGGATGGGTGATCTTCAGTCACTTAGGCACCTCTGTAGCAAATGAACCTGTAACCGATTGTCTTTGCTGTTACTTGGGAGGTCATAGGGATGGGAGGGTGGGAAAAAAGGGATGTGGTCAAGTTTGTTGCTGGGAAAAAATCTGAGTAAGACCCAGGGAAGATCAGGCCATCTTGCAATAGGCAGAAACGTGAGTATGTTGCTCAAAGAGGAACATTTGATAAAACTGTTGTGAAGTAAAATTCAAGTTAGAAAAGAGCATGATAAACACCCCATTTTGCAGTTGAGGAGCAAAGCACAGACATGGTAAAGCTTGCCCAAAGTCTTAAAGGCAGCCTGGCAGAGCAGTGAACTGAACTCTGCCTTTTTAAATCTCAGTTCTTCAAATTAACCTTGGTGAAAACATCAGGTCTTCCTTTTGGCTGACACCAAACTAGCCAGCCTACTAACAGGGGGAAATGATGGCACCAATCATGTTTTGATGACTTTATACTTCAGAGCTTTGTTGCAGAGAATCATAGAATGTTAGGGATTGGAAAGGACTTTGAGATCATCTAGTCCAACCTGCCTGCCAGAGCAGATTCACTTAGAACAGGTTGTACAGGGTAGTCTCGAGTCTGGTTTTGAATGTCTCCACAGACAGAGAGTCCACCGCCTCCCTGGGCAGCTGCTCCTAGTGCTCTGCCACTCTCAAAGTAAAGAAGCTCCTCCTCATGTTTAAATGGAGCTTCCTGTGTTCAAATTCGTGCTCGTTACCTCTTATCCTGTCACTGGGCACCACTGTAAGAAGACTGATCCCATCCTTCTGACACCCACCCTTTAAGTATTCATAAACATTGATAAGCTCCCGCCTCAGTCTTCTCTTCTCCAGACTAAAAAGCCCCAAATTCCTCAGCCTCTTCTCATAAGAGAGATGTTCTAGTCATCTTTGTAGCCCTTTGCAGTATTCTCTCTAGCAGTTCCGTGTCCTTCTTGAACCAGAAGAGAGTGTCTCCTTGCTCTGTGGGCATTGAGTGAAAACACCTCCTGGCCTGTGGTTGGCTTGAAAAGGAGGAAGTGCAGTCCTGAGTATTTCTTTTGTCAGAGACACAAGTTAATAGAGGGGAAAGCAGAAAAATGTGTGAGGGGTGCAGACCCACTTCAGCCCAGCATTTGTAGCCAGGTGCTCTGCTCAGTGGCCCATGGAAGAGGTTGTTTATTACGAATTCTGTTTTGAAGCTCATGTCCTTGGGTCTGTGAAAGATGCGCTTTGAAAGCTGCTTGCTAGAAGCGTGAATTGATTTCAAAAAGAACTGTGGTGGAGTAGCCACAGAAATGCAGGTGCTGGAATTAAAACTTGGTTCCAGCAGGTGACCTGGGAAACAGTGCAGGGAGGAAAGATCAGACAGGCCATCAATAACCTGTGCTCTTCCACAGTGGGTGTTGCACACCCGCTCTTCTCCAAAGCAGCGTTTCTGCTGACTTGTGTGCTTTTGGGACAGGCCAGAGAGCATAAGTCAGATCTTGTGTGGGTATAAAGCAGAGCAGGTCCAGTGATGCTAAATG